AGATTCCCCAGGGAGCCTTGGCCGGGCCGCAATGGCCCTGCGGGTGTTTCAGCACACTCTCACTCCCACTCCTGCCGCAGGCCGAGGAGCAGCCAGGGCGGCCAGCAGGAGCCCAGGTGAAGCGCCATGCCTCCTCCTGCAGCGAGAAGTCGCGGCGGGTGGACCCGCAAGTCAAAGTGAAGAGGCACGCGTCGAGTGAGTGGGGGTCCTCAGCCGCAAACCTCTGTGGGGGGACCCTGGCCAGTGCAGGAGGACACTGTTCCCCCAAGGGGGTCTGCAGCCAGGCTGGGGCTGGCTGGCTCCAGCACACGGGTGATGGGTTGTGCTGCGCCAGCTCAGCTGGACCGTGGGTGGCATCAATGCAGTCGGGCCCAGAGCCTTCATGACAGGCTCTCCTTGTGCATGCAGATGCTAACCAGTACAGGTACGGGAAGAACCGGGCCGAGGAGGACGCCAGGCGATTTCTGACGGAGAAGGAGAAGCTGGAGAAGGAGAAAGCATCAATCCGTAGTGAGTTGGTGTTGCTGCGGAAAGAGAAGCGAGAGCTGCGGGAAGCCGTGAAGGGCAGCACAGGTAGGTTAGTGCCATCCGCTGCAGCTGAGGATGCTCGAAGGCACTTGGGTACGGGGGGGAAGGCTGCAGAGCTGGGGTGGGATGGGGACGCTGGGCTGGCGGTGGCATTGTGGCCATGAGCAGAGCTGGCTGCAGCACGCTGCAAGGCTGGCAGCCCCATCTAGCGTCCCTATCCAGGAGGATGGGTAGCTTCATGCTGAGCTGGGCACGCTTGTGCAAGCAGGGTCGAAGCTGCAGGACCTGGAGCAGCGGGTGTCGGTGCTGGAGGAGCAGTGCCGGCAGAAGGAGGAGCGCCGTGTTGACCTGGAGCTCAAGCTGACAGAAGTGAAGGAGCGGCTGAAGCAGTCATTGGCGGGAGGGCCGGCCCTGGGGCTGGCTGTGACCGGCAAGGCTGAGAATGGGGTATGCACCCCTTCTTCCTCGCTCTCGCGGCTCTGGCTTCCCCCAGCAATGGTGCTTGGGGTGGCGGGGGGAGCAGCATGTGGGGAAGAAGGGACATCCTTGCTGCTTTGTCCCATTGTGGACAGAGATGGGAAGCAAAGCGTCAATTAGGTTTGGCCACATCAGTTTTGACCTCATGACAGTTTGTGCCTTTTATTTTTCCCTGGCTGTTCCTGCTCCCTGGGTCTTCTAAATCCTCCTCCTTCTTGCTCACCCTTTTCCACAGGAAGCTGCAAACAAGCCAAACGGGAGCCCCCCTGAGCACTTGGTCCCCGTTAACTGTGCAGCCGAACTGAGGAAGAGAAGTCCCTCCATCCTCCCTGCCAACAAGGGAAACGTGCTGCGGAAGGCCAAGGTCCTGCTTCACTTCCCCTCTCCTCCCTGGCCCCACCGGAAATCTCATCCTTCATCCCGTCTCCCTTCCTTGACCATGAAATTTGGGGACTGGGGATGCTCCCTACCCCAAAAGCAAGGGGTACTGCCAGGGTCCCCTGCAGCCAGGCTGGCCCAGCTCAGCAGCACTCACTGCTGGCATGAGCCCAGCTTGCAGGGAGATTTGGGAGGTGCAGGGCCAGGTGGGCAGAGGGGAGAACATCATAGAATAGTTTGGGTTGGAAGGGACCTCTAAAGGTCATCTAGTCCAACCCCCTGCCATG